TCATACAAATACATGTAAACACATAAGAGAACTCTTCTGGTAGTGCTTTGCGTTTCAGTGTGTGGCTCCACACGGATTGACGGAGGTCTGACAACCCATGTTGTGACCTGTCACTTGCACCTTGAACAGTGTTCCATCTGCACACATACAGAGCTTGAATCGCAGCCAGTTGCCATTGTTAAACTGCTCCCCATAAGAAGAGCTTGGCAGTCGCGACGGGCTGACCATCACAGTTCCATTCAGGATAATGCTGTTTTCCTTTTAAAAGGGAAGGAAAAACTACTTTAACAATAAATTATATTGTTAGAAAGGTTTTAGAAATCTACAGAATATAACATATAAGAAGGTTTCATTGTTTAATTAAATTCACGAATAACACCCATCAGTTTCTCCATTACAGCCATGGTACTTTGCTATTCTAGTGGTAGATCAATACTGAGAAAGCAGTGGTAACGTGGTAGACAATTCTCCACAGACCTATAAGCAAAGGCAGTGAATTAAAAATAAGTGAAATGGACTAATTTTAGTTTCTGTGCTTCTGTTGAAGGTTGCTGTCCACAATAAAGCTCTGGGAAGAAAACATGTATTCCCTCTGGTGTTCATTTCAGTGCAAAAAAACAATAGGTTACCTTGAATCACTTTATGGGATTTTAGTGTCTTTTAGTATTAAATCAGCATTACCTGAACACTGCTGAACCACAAATTAAAAGCATAATAATAATCTACCTTTAAAAAATCCAATTAAATATGCTGATTGCAACCAAACTTTTATGAATGACTATTTTATATAAAATTTGAATCAATACAAAACAAAAAAAGAGTTTACTATCAGCTTGAACTTGAAAGAAAGACATTCAGAAAATGCTGTTATGAAATACTCACTGCTTTAAGCTCCATGTTGCCCCCCATTCGAAACTCAATGGTCTTGCCTGTGATGAAAACGCCTTCATTTCCACGGACAATAGCACGGCCATCAACCTTTATATTTAGGTCACTGGTTGCATTGCTAGTAATCTAAAAACGTACACAAACATAAGAATTACAGATCAATGAAAATGTGCCACTTGGGTTCATCTGAGTAACTTTAATAATCTTGAAAATATTGCTCAATAATTTAATAAAAAAACTTCAACATGTTTTGTGCCCTTCTCCCATTATGACTATGAAGATTTTGCCCATTTGTTATTTTCTACATTACATTTGCATGGCTTACTTAATTTTGGAAGGTATGAAACATAGTTTGTCTGTGTATCACTTGATTGTGATAAAAATAACTCACGTGACAGTTGCATGGGATACAAAAATCAATGCTGCAAGCAGATGCAGCCTTCCTTGTAAAGACTGATAATGTAAATTTGTTCCTCTGTTCTTATTTAACCTGTTGCTCTGACTTTTAAAGTTCTACTTGTTATTTCTCTCTCTGCTGCATACTTTTTAACTGCTAGCCAGCAGAGAAAACGTAAGGAAAAAAATGAAAACCATTGTCTTTTCTTGGTCCTGAGACACATGCAACCCTCAGTAAACCCACTGTTGCCACTCTGTTAGTGTTACACCACAGAACTGTGTGCAGTATTGTGTTTGGAAAGCCTTTATTATGACTGATATGCAAGAAAGAAGTTTCAGTCTGACATTAAGATGGACATGCATATGAGAATATATAGGTTTTTGGTTCTCTGATAAATAAAGCATATTTAATGTAGAAACCAAACTAAGAACACGTTCAACCTGGAATGAACTAACAAAACTCTCATAATGCCATGATTGTTCTCTTTGCTTCTTTGAAATTCTGATTGTTCTAACATTTATCAGCAATAGAAGAAAAGAGATGTTGAAAGTTCTTACTAGAAAAAGGAAAGCTTTTCATAGGAATTTTATTTCTGAAACAGCTATTCAGGTACAAACAAATGTATGTAGATGCTTAACAAAAAGTCACACAGGCTTCCTAATCCTGATACTGGAGCCAGCATGGCACTCCAGATGTTACACTCGCTTACTAATGTCAGTTTTCATTTCTATTCTAACTTTTAGGATGAGTTTGCTTTTCAGAGGTGCTAATTTTAGCTATATTTAGTCAAATTTCTAGATTTGAAAGATGAAATTAATAAACTTCTTCCGTATTCTCCAACTAAGGCAATTCTGTAATAAGCTTTTACAGAGAGTACTTAAAAAAGTTAATTTTTTAGAAGTTAAACAAGACATACCCTCTCTGTAGAGGCCTTTTGTACATTCAAGATTTTAACTCCATTTGGCAGATGAAACTCATGAGTTTCATAGTCTGTGCTGAACAGAGTATTTTGTGTCCGTGGGTCAACAAATTCCATGCCGATATCACTGGTGATGGAAGTTTTGTCTTTTTCCACACTAAGCTTGGTTGTTCCTTGCTGAAATACAATCTCCAGAAGCAAGAGTCTTTAAGTTAATGACGTTTCAAACATTACATTTATTGATAACCCGAGTTCACGATATAACTTACAGGCTGATTATTTCCAGTGATCACCAGATCTTCATTCCGTCTGCCTCCTACAGTGCTTTTATACAGTGGATGTATCACCCCCATGTCAGAAACTTGCTTAAACCGCAGTAAGCCGCTCTCGTGGAACTCCATGCTGTCACAACCATTGGGGCCAATTCGAATCACTGCCCAGATGACAAGTGTAATCTCAAAGAGAAACACACGTCGTCAGATATGACTTCAATATTACAGGTAGCTTAACAGTATATCCTGGATATATCTGTACTGCACTAATAACATTTCATGTATTTCCTGTTGCGGAGTTTGGGGAAAGGAGAGAGAGCATCACGGCTCCTGCTGGGACCATGCCAGTGAAATACTGATGACTGAACTGGAAGAATTCTTCTGTCTAATCCTGCTCAGAGTACAAAGGACCAAAAAGGAGAGAGAAAAAACTGTGTGTCTCCTTCAGTACTTTTTATGTCCTTCTCAGCCATACTGGAGTTCAAGTTTTCTTTCTCTAATAAACAGTCAAAACAAAATACATCCTAACATTGCTTACAGCCTAAGTATTATACTCACAATCAGATTGATGACAGCCAAAATAAAAAGGAGGACAATCACGCAGATGGCCAAATTGCCTTTCCTGCCACGTAAGCCTGTCTTATGGAGTCGGTCTTCATCAATTGGAATGTATCCGGCTTTGAAGTTACTGTTGTGCTCCTTATTGACATTCCTGCGCTCTACAGCCTTCTCACGCATTGATTTCTTCACCGGCCCATTGGAACTTTGCTATGACACAAAGCACAGGTTAGCTGTTGAGAGGTATGCATAAATCCACCAAAGTGATACACATCTATGCATGCAAAAAAACACACAACTGATCATTGGAATATATTATATTCTACCCAGGATTATGTTATATTACAGTCTGCCACTCCGTACAATATAAATATGAAGTATAAAGCCACTGCCAGCCAACTCGTCAGGGGGAATGGGCCTGGCTGGCTGTAACTTACTGGTTGGCAGTGATTGGATTGCAAGGTGTTTCCCTGCAAACATACCATATTGGTGCATATCAGAAACTCTCATAGACACTCATAAGGAAAGAAAGCTTGATTTTCCTGGCTATTTTCATAGCTCTGTACACTGCTTTGCTCCACCTCTCCTGAATGACTCAGGTCGCTGTGTAAAGGTCCAAAAAGGGGTTCAGTCTTCTGACGGCACAAGGTGCGTTCGGCTGGATCCCGGAGCTGCCCCGTGCGCTGGGTGTACCTGCACGCGGATGTACCGATGCAGCGGGTGAAGACGTCTTCTGTTTTCTTTTGGAGCCGAGCACGAAACGGTACCGCGGAAGGCGCCTGACCTGAGCACAGTCTGACGTGCCGAAGCCAGCCGAGCTCGCCCCGCGCTCCTCCACGCCCCGAGCCGAGCGCGGTGACTCAGGCGCAGCTCTATTTATACCGCCGGGTAACGGGCCGCCCCGTCGCCCAGCAAGCGGCTCGTTCCCACTCGCGCAGCGCCGCCGCGGCCCCGTGCCAGCAGTCAGAACACCCCGCTTCCCAAACGAGCTCTGCCCGCTCGCTTCCCCCCCCCCACACCCCAGGCCCGCGCACGGGACTCCGGCTGCTGTCACGACCACGCGCTCAGCCTCCCGCCGGCCCCAGACGTTCGGAGGGGAACGTCTGCTGGCCGCCGGGATCCCCGTCCCGAGCGCCGCTCGGAGCCTCACCGCGAAAGCGGCGCTCCCCGCCCGGCTGCCCCGCGCCGCGCCCCGCGCACAGACCTGCTCGGAGGCGGCCGCCGCCATCTTCCCCGGGTGCCGCCGCGGCTGCGGCAGCTCCGCACTCCCCCTGCCGGACAGAGGCGGCGGGGCTGCCCGCCGACGGCACGCCGCTCTCCGCAGGGACGCCGACCGACCTCCCGGCGCCCTGCGCTGCGGATCAGCGCCGTGACCCTCACGCGCGTCCCCGAGCCCATCGCGACACTCGCGCGGCCGTGACGTCAGGCGAGGACCGGCCCCGCGGTGACCCCGCGTTGCGGAGCGGCCCCGCGGTTTTCCCGCAGTGAAGCGTTCGGGGCTGGCAAAAGGCTGTTGGACCGAAAGCTTATCCACGCGCATGACGAGCAGCCCCTCCGTAGCGCGTACGTGAGCGTTCCCAGCCAACGGTCCCTTCGCAAATAACTCAGGGATTTCTCTGCGTTTAGGCAGAGGGATAGTTATTTTTTTTTCAACGCGGGGAAATGGAAACGAGGGGTGCGGTGACACATCGCTCCTGCTCCATCGCCGCCTCCTCCTCAAGACGGTACCCGCGGGGCGACCGCTTGCCCCGGGCGGGCAGCAGCGAGGGCGGCTGCAGACGGCAGAGAAGTGTTATGGCGCCACCTGGCGGACGCACCGCGTGCCCCCGCGCTCCCCGCCGCGCTGGGCCGGGCCGGGCCGGGGCGGGCAATGTGGCCGGGGGGTGTCCGCCCCGTTGCCACAAGCGAAACGCGCCCTGCTTGCGTCGTCCTGGCACCCGCCGCGGCCGGCCTACGTTACAATCGCGGCTATAAAGGCTGCGGGGCCGCGGCGCCGCCCACAGCCGTGAGCCCCGGCGGGAGACGTCAGCTCCTCCCGCGCTGCCATCGCAGGGCTCCCGGGTGGACGGGACGGGACAACGAGACCACGGCAGCCCGTCCCAACCACGGGCCCACCCGTGAGAGAGCTGCCCGCGAGCATGGCTAGCAGCTTGAAGAAGCTTATCAAAGCCGAGAGCTGCCGGCTAATGCAAGAGAAATTAGAGAGCTGGTCTAAGGACTACGAGGTGCGGAGAGCCGCGGTCCCCGCGTCGGCTGCCTCTCCCCGGGACCCGCGGGCAGCGCGGCCGTGGGGCCGCAGGGGCGGCGGGACGCGGCGGTTGCCCGGCGCCCGCCGAGTTGCGGCTCCGCGGTGATCGCAGCTGTCCTCCGAGCGCCGCTTTGGGACGCGCGCGTGTGCGCGCTGCTGCCTCCTGGCGTGCGCTGCTTCGACGTTTTTACTTTTCTTGCGCCTGTGGTGCGAGCGGAAAGCTAGAGGCGCTGCAGCGGCCGAGACAAAGTCAAAGAGAGTTTTGCTGCGCGGGTGGTAGGAGGCACGAGGCGAAACAGCGGCCAAGGAAGGGCAGGGGTGCTCGGGGAGTGCTGTGCAGGGGCCTGGGAGCAGAGAACTGCGCGGGGACGAGAAAGCTGGAGGCGAACGGGAGGGCATGGGGGAGGATTCGGGAGCATGGCAGCAGCAGGGCTGTGTGAAGAGAGAAGAGGGCAGGAGGTGGAGGGGGTGAAACCGTGTGAGCGGGACGGGTTACATCGAGGGGAAGGTGTGGCGATGGAGGGAACTGTGGCTTGGAAGTTGTAAATATTCTCAGCAGTGACGATGGCCACAGCATCCTCACTCCTGTGTCTCTGGGCACCGTGGCTGCCCTCAGGCTGCTGCTGCTGTGGGTGAAGGTCTTGAGCAAAGATGCACAAAAGACCCTTTTGTGTGTATCCTTTTGTATGTAGGGTTACGGTGCCGGGCAGCCTTTGTGCAGGATTCCTGGCCGAGGGCAATCCTAAGGAGTAGTTTGAGGGAGGCTGGTAAAGGTTTGCAGAGCACCGGGCACCAGGAGGAACAGGAGCACTCACCTTATACCTTGCACGTGGGTGCTGGCAGCAGGCCTTGGGGCTGCTCAACAGCACAGGAGGTGGGTGAATGTAGTCCACAGGTCCTGGAGATGGAGACGAGCAGCTCTCTGCTGCGAGGAGCAGAGTTGGCAGATGGGAGCACTGTGGGTGTCGTGTCAGTGTAATGAGCTGGAAAAATGCAATTCGCAGTGGTGTTCTGGTGAATGTTAGCAGGGTGAGACTGTACTTCTTGAGGACAGAGGAGAGCGTGCTGCAGCACTCAAGTGTGAGGTGACTATGCACGGGCGAGGGCCATTCCTGTTTTCAAAGCTGTTATGAACTACATGGAGCCATTGAAGCATAAGGACCTGATGGTCATGCAAGGTGAAGATGATAGCCGTGTTACAAATAAAGATGAAGGAAGTAGGTACAAAGGGTGTGTTTTTTTTCCTGGCAGGTGCAGGAGTGTCCTGAGAAGTTGAACTCCATCATTTCCTTTTGGGAATTGTATTTGTTGAAAGTTATTTAATTTTACTGTTCTGTTGTTTCCTTGCTTAATGCTGGGGTTTGCCCAGACTTGAGTATTGCTTGTTTCAGCTGATAACTCTTAAATCAGGTAAAACTACAGAGAGCTCTCATGGCTGTTGATAAAGTTTAAAAAAAAAAAGCCTTCTTTGTGTTACTTCCACTAATACATAAAATCGTACTTTGAATTAATTTTTATTCATCCAACAGTCTTATAATGTACTATGTAAAAAAACAAACAAACAAATTCTGTTAAAAGATTTTAATGCATCTTTTTATTCTTTTGTTTATGGTTGCAGCTTGTTTGTCACTGGGGAAAGGAGTTAGTTTTTTCTGGTGGTGACTTAATGGGGCCATGGAATCCTGATGTGTAGCCTGTGTGCTTATTAGCAATATGATCATTCTGAAGATGAGTATTCTGAAGGGTGCAGTAAGAAATAGCTGTGGAAACGTAATAATGATAATAATAAAGTCACATAAAGAGCCAACCCTTTAATGTCATGATCACAACAGGAATGATTCTAAGAAATTCCAGGCAGATCTATTAATACCAATTAATTTACAGATCAATTCCTGTGATCAAAATCTGAACCAGTGTTGTGAATTAATAGAAATGACATCTATGATTCAAGGGCAGCTCTTCACAATCCTCAATGAGACATCTCAAGACGGTAAATCAGTGCCTTGCCTTATTACTGGCACATTTCATATGTGCTGTCTTTTTAAGCTCTGCCTTTCCGTGCAAGTGTCTCACAGTTTCCTAATGCTTGTATTTTCCTAGGTGGGCATTATGCAGGTGTAAAGACAATAAAAACTCGTCTCCTGCCGTGGTTAGGGTCTTGGTTTTCCCATGCTACTTCAGGAAGGCTCTTTGAAACTAGCCTCTCCTTGAATCAGGTAGGTAGGAAGTTTATTTTTAAGGGAATTTTTAAGGGAATAATAGAATCCCTTCCTCATTTTGCTTAATGAAATATGTCGTTTGTTGCTCATGGTAACGACTGCATGTGACATTCAAAGTTTGAAGAAAAGCCTGCTGCACAGTTACCTGTTTAGTACCATAAGGCAAATCTGTAGATTGTTAAAAACATAGCACACTGTTGTATGTGCAGCTTTCTTGAAATGTAACAGTTACCTGACTTGTTTTAGTAAGTATTTCTTCTATTCTGCATGCATGAATTCACAAACCTGTACTTGTTGATGGCATAATCAGTCATAACTCTTTATTTTCAATTACCTTAAAAATAGTTAAGGCTTGATGAATATGTCCTACAAGGAGCAACTGCAGGAACTGGGGCTGTTTAGTCTGGGGAAAAAGAGGCTGAGGGGAGACCTTATTGCTCTCCTCCTATATCTGAAAGGCGCTTACAGCAAGAGCAGGGCTGGTCTCTTCTCACTGGTGACAGGATGAGGGGAAATGGCCTTAAGTTGTGCCAGGGTAAGTTTAGGTTGGATATCAGGAAAAACTTCCTTACTAAAAGGGTTGTTAAGCACTGGAATAGGTTCCCCAGGGAGGTGGTTGAGTCACCATCCTTGGTTGTGTTTAAAAACCATTTGGATGTGGTGCTCAGGGACATGATTTAGCAGAGGGTTGTTAAAGTTAGGGTAGTATGGTTAGGTTGTGGTTGGACTCTATGATCTTTAAGATCTTTTCCAACCTGAGCAATTCTGTGATTCTATGGTCTTTACTGAACTGTTTAGAAACATGCATGCTAAGATTGCTATGTTACTGAAGGATTCTGTAAGGTAGAACGTTGAAACTGTTATTTTGTTTCACTGTAGGATTCAATTGAGAAAGAGAGACAACTGAGGCAGACTTTTCAGCTGCAGGAGCTGCAGGAAGAACTGACATCAACTCGTCTGGAGCTTGACCATGTGCAACAAGAGTAGGGGAATTAACTGGGAGTTAACTCCCCATAAGAATCCCCCGCTTTCCCCTCCCCTCCCCGTTTTCTTCCCTACAATACTTTTTTCTAGTGACACTTAAATACTGGAAGATTTGTAAAATTATTCGTTTCTCGCTTTAAACCAGTGTTTCAAAATATTCCATTTGTGTTCAAAGTGGGCTACAGGAGATACAGTCATCCTTAGATTCCTCGATTGACCTGATAGGTTTTGCTTGGGGAAGAAGTATTGGCAAACATGGCAGTACTCCAGACAAGAGTTTTGTATGGAACATAACCATCTCACTTAAATGTTCATAGACTTCTACAGGCTGAGCAAACATTGATTAAAAAATAGAGTAGCTTCAGTGCAATCATTATTGAAGGATGTAGAGCATATCATAATTAGTATGTAATTAGTACATGGATTTCTAAGATCAAAAGCCATTATGGCAAAAAATGAAGGAAGAAAGGAAGATTTCCACATAGTCCAATGGGACTGAGCAGTTCTTGGGTTGCATGAAGCATATTTTATGGAGCACTGTAGTTGCAAAATAACTTGTCTGCTTCATAAACAAGTTGGTCTGGTTTGTGCCACTTCCAAGAACATTTTGGAGGTCACTCCAAGTGACAGATATTTTCTATTGTATTCTGCTTAGTGTGAGAAAAATGAATGTTCACAGTCACAGGATCACAAAATCACCGATCATTTGGTTAATACAAAAAGGGATATAAGTTAATGCTTTTATTAAGAAATCCTAAGAATATGAAGTTCTCAGGTCTGCGAACTGCTTAAACTAGAATTGAAAAAGCAGTTCAGTAGAAAGAATATTTCATCATGTATCCTAATCTGGCAGATGCTCCTACTCCCCATGTATCTAATATCTGGATCTTGGATAAATGCAGGCAGTTTGATTTTTGACTATCAAAGAAATCTTCTTTTCAAGGGGATGCACAGATCTTTAACTCAGAAATGAGAGATAAGGCAATAGAAAAATCTTACAGTCAGTATATATTAAGTATCAGAAGTGTACAGAGAAGGACTTCACAACATCTGGAAGAAAAGGTTATTTTGTTCTTGCATTCTTTAGAATCACTAAGGTTGGGAAAGACTTCTAAGATCATCTAGTCAAACTGTCCACCCATCACTATATGCTCACTAGGATGTGTCCCTCAGTGCCACATCTATGCCTTTCTTGAAAACCTCCAGGGATGGTAACTCTACCACCTCCCTGTGCAGCCTGTTCCAATACATTACTGCTCTTTCAGAGAACAAATTTTTCTTATTATCCAACCTGAACCTCCCCTGGCACAACTTAAGGCCATTCTGTCTGTTATCTCATCCTGTGACTGTTACCTGGGAGAAGCCAACCCCCACCTTGCCGCAATCTCCTTTCATGTCATTGTAGAGAGGTCAGGTCTCCTCTGAGCCTCCTCCACTCTAAACAATCCTGGTTCCCTTAGCTGCTCCCTGTAAGACCTGTGCAGCAAATGCTTCATGGCTTCCTTGCCCTTCTCTGGGCCTCCAGGGCCTCGATGTCTTTGTTGTAACAAGGGGCCCAGAACTGAACACAGTTCTTGAGGTGCGGCTTCTCCAGTGCTGAACACAGAGGGATGATCCTCCAGGATCCTGCTGCCTGTGTGATTTCTGATACAAGCTAGGATGCCATTGGCCTCCTTGGGCACCTGGGCACACTGCTCATGTTTAGCTGGCTGTCAATTAACATGCACAGATCCTTTTCCTCTTTTCAGTTTCCCATCCGCTCTGTCCCAAGCATGTAGCATTGCATGGGGTTGTTGTGATCCAGCATTTGGTCTTGTTGAACTTCATCTCATTGGCCTCAGCCAATCCCTCTGTTGGGCTTTCCAGCTTGGTGTCATCTGCAAGTTTACTGAAGTTGCACTCAATCCCTTTGTTCAACAAATTTGCCGGTATTAGGTAATCTTGCAAAAATAATTCCAGCATGGAAGATTTAATAAGCAAAGGAGTTATCAAGTGTTGGTATTTCTGACTATTGAGAAGAGCTGTGGGAAATGAGAGTGGTGAGGCACTGGTGCTGGCTGCCCAGAGAAGCTGTGCATGTCCATCTCTGGAGGCATTCAAGACCAGGTTGGATGGAGCCCTGGGCAGCCTGATCTGACAGGAGGCAGCCCTGCCCATGACAGGGGTTGGAGCTTGACTTAATTGTATGATTAGTGGATCCCACAAATGTACATAAATACCCGAGGGGAGAGTGTAAAGAAAATGGAGCCAATCTCTTCTCAGTGGTGCTGGGTGCTACAGGAGGTGATGAGAGGCAGTGGGTGTAAACTGAAACAGAAAAGATTTCATCTGAACATCAGGAAGCGTTTCTTCACTGTGCAGGCAATTGAGCACTGTTGTGGTCTCCTTGGAGATCTTCAAAAGGACAGCATGCTCTGTGTGTCCCTGCTTAGCATGGGTTGGACCAGACAAGCTCCAGAGCTCCCCGCCAACCTCAGCTATTCTGTGGTTCTATGTACATACGAAGTTCTGTATATATAAAGGTTGATTTAAGCATGAAGCACTTCATCCTATGCTCCTTTGTGGATAGAGTTTATTTGCTGAGCTGGGGAGAAGTGTTGGATGGTCAAGTTGAGAAATACAAAGAAACTTATTCACTGCAGAGACTGAGTGTGTGGCAGTTTGCGGTACAAAACAAGGCAGGTTTAGGCTTGTTCCATAAGAAGAGGCAAAGATTCTTCACAGCTTTGTGAGCTGCATTTCTTTGTGCAGTCAGGTTAGAGAGGGGCTGGCTGTGGTTTGCAAAGGCAGGACTCTGGAAGGTAGAAAGCTCGAAAGAGGTAATTGTAGGTATTTCAGGCAGATGAGAAGTCGTGTTTTTATCCTTTCAGGATGAATGATGCTCCAGAGTCATTATTGTGTAGTTGTTGATAACAGGGGAAAATGCAAAAGAAAGAGAATTCATGTCCCATGATACCCCATTTACAGACAGTGAAGTCATTCTGAGCATTATAAACTGTTGGAATAGATGAAGAAACTGGTTGAACCTTAATGAGAAAAACATGAGTTCTAGCAAAATAATTCTGTTGCTTAGTCAGATATGACTTTTATAAACTATTTTGTGTGCTGATAGCCTGCACAAAGCCCACTGTGATGGTTTTCATATGTTAAATTGGTACAGATTTGGTCTGCTGAAACAGTTATATTAAATCCTCTGGTGGAATCTCTGCCTTTGCCATGAAGGTTATTAATTTTTCTTGCAGTCTGGCACAAGCCCAGTTGGCTCTTGAAGACACAAAGACCAAATCAGCCACTACTCTTTTGACAGCAGCAGATGAAATTATTCAGCTAAGAGCAGCGTAAGAAAAATCGAATCTTGCAGTATTTGTGGCAGAAAGTCAGCATGCAAAGACTGTCCGTCTTCTACCTGAGTGGATGCTGTTTATTCTACTACACTGTCCTTTGCTATATAAGTCCTTGACATCCTGGAGCTTTTTTCCTCTGCTTTCTAGGAAGAAGTAGCAAAAATCAACTGAAGTGAGAAGAAACTTTATTCTTGCTGAACTTATATTCTTTTCTCTTTAGGTTAGAGGAAGGGTTACTTTGAAATCAACTTGATAGCATTCAGTCTTGTAGATAAAATTAATAGGAGTGGACCATATTTGGAATGTAGTGAACTACAGACAAAGATTTCCTGCTATGATGCTCTTGAAAGTAAGCATGTATGTTAGATAGAAAACATTTTGGTCTCTCTGCCTTAAGGTGAAGTTATTTATAAGGCTTTTTCTTTGAGACTGTTTTCCAGATCCTTTTGACTGTCTGCACAGAACTGTACAGGAGTATTAGTAATGTTGCTGTCTCTGCTTTAAAAAAATTTATAGTTCCTAAATGTCTTGGTCACGTCAGGAGAGTTAGTTTGGATCAGGAATAGAGCAACTGGGGGACTTCCTATTCCGCTTCAGCACAGTAGCCTTTAAAACTAATTTTCATTTGTGGCTGATTCTACAGTACTAGAAGCAGTTATAATTCCCTGTTATGAAATATAGCCCTTTTTTTTTTTTTTTTTTTTTTTTAAATGGTTATATTATCAGAAAAGAATGTGAAAGAGTAGTAGGGATTCTAAATGCCTATCATTGCTTCTGAAATAATATTAATTAATGGATTTCAGCTGTGGACTTTCCCTGATAGGTGTTCATCACTTCAGACTTTAACTTTTTGAATGGATATGTGGAAGATAGACTTGTATTCCCATAAAATGTTTCTCTTTTTGATTTTTTTTTTTTGGCTGAAAAATAGCTCATATTAATTTTTTAATTCTTAGATGAAAGCTGACCACTGTTTTCTAGATGAAAGCATTTGTTGAGAACAAAGCCTCTCACAAATTCTGTGTATAGGTCATAATGCAGAGTGCATGGAAATTCGCGTTGACATTTGTACTGATGACAGACAATAAAACATTCCTGTCTTTTTGTGAATTCAGGATTTCCGGAATCTCCATGTGCTTATTGTTCATGTTCACCCTCAGTTTAGTTGGCAACTCTATCTTTGTGTCTTTTGCCTGGGTTCTGAAGTTCTGATTGAAGCAATTTCTGTGTTCTTTGAAACAGCTTTTCAAGATCGCAGCAGAGTTGGACTAGATGATCTTTAAGGGTCCCTTCCAACTCAAATGTATAAAAACTGTAACCATTTTAGCTGAGTAAAATCAGATTTGCCTAGTCTTCACCTGCAACACCTAGAACAGGTTTATCTACTTATCTATCTTTTTATCTATTTATCTATCTCTGTTTATCTATTTTACTGAAATAGCAGTTTCCCAGGACTGTCCTTTGCTTTTGACTCTTTTCTTTTTGGAATAGCTGTTGATCTCACTTGTCATTTTTTTGCCTGTCATCTCTTTCTCCTGGGCTGTTAGAGCAAATGTGTTCTAGGCTCAATATAATTAACTTGTAGAGTCAGTGTAAGTTTTTGTGGTATTGAGGTATGCATTATAACAGGATTTAGCTTTTTACTGCAGAATAATGAACAAAAATAGCTTTTTATTTTTTTTAAATAGTAATCAATGTTTAAAAATAATTGGAAGTTTTTCAGGGTCTCCCGTAGAAAACCTGTTGTTAAGTGCAGACTGAACAAAATCCTTTAGTACTATTATAAATGGAAGTTCACTCCTCGGATGTTTAGAGTTTTGCCAAGGTACAGTCAAACTGAGTGAAGCCAGACAACTTGCTGAAGAAAGTAAGGTCATGAGGGCTTTTCTGTCTTCATCTGTTTTGTAGAGGATGTATTATATAGGTTAGCAGAAAGAAGTTTTGATAAACGTGATTGTAATTATTAACGTTCTATATGGTACCTGAAGTCAGTGACTTTAGGAGGTTGTATTCTCTCTGTCAAAGAGGACTCTTAAAAAATAGGGGCAAAAAAATGGGTCTGGGAAAAAGACATAAGTGGATTGTTCTTGCCTTGAATTTCTGTGTGAGTCAACCTTAATTAAAGGAGTGGTGGAATGGGAAGAGTCCTTGTAACTATTGAATTGTTCTGAACTGGAGGTTAGCAGTGAGGTGCTGTTATCCAAAGAGCATTAGATTTTTGACAGTTCTCAAGGCTGTTGTATTTTCTCCTAGTGGAATGGTGGAATTTCAAAAACTAAGGAACGGATTCTAGCCTTAACTGGAAATAAAAGTGGATATAAAACACTGTTCTGTATCTGCAGCTTCTAACCAGGTTGAAAGGATAGTCGTGACAGATTTGCTGACCTTATCACCTGTGATCTTCTCAGTCCTGTTACTTAAAGCTTTCCTGCAGCTTCTCCTGAGCAGAAAGCTTGCCAATTGATTGGTATAATAACTTTCATTCAGATTCAGGTTCAGATTGTGGAAAATCTCATCAGTGCTCTTTAGTAAAGAGAAGGGAGGACAAACTAAATGCCTCCAAAATGAATAGAAAGCATTGGCATTTTTTTAGAAAGAGGAAAACAACAGTAATATTTGTTAGCTAGCAGGGGAAGTGGAAGTGTTGAGATGCTTCCTAACATTATGTAAGAGTAAACAATAGACTGTAAACTTGCGGATGTTTGAGAAACACTTCTTTGGGGGGAGGAAGAACAGAAGAGGAGTCATTTACTTTTGATATTATTCAAATAACAGCATTAGTGATGTCTTTTGAGCAAAATGATCCAAGAAAAGTACCTGAAGACCTGATGTGAGAAAAGAACTGTCAGCTCAGTTTTCTTTCCTCTGATTTCCTACAAGTTCTGATTCTACATGAGTCGGAATATGAGAAAGAAACCAATGCTTTTCTTTGACCTCATGATCTAAGGTAGTTCAAGGACACCAGAGGTTAGCCACTCATCTCTCCTGTAACGTAGTGCAGTGTATCCTGTCTCCTGCCACAGGGCACCTTTACACTTTAAAGTGTACTTAAGAGCATCATTTTTTTTTAATCTTTCAATCTTATTGTATTTCAGCACAAAGTCTCCTGTTCTGTTCTTGTTTGATAAGGGTTAATTGATAGATGGTTTGTGCTGTTGGTAGAAGGGCATCTCATGACTGACTTTATTCCATGTGGTTAAGTCTGAAGGCTTCCCGTGCCCGGGAGGAGGACTCTCTGAGGAGTTTAGATCATCTGAATGACTATGAGCAGCAGATTGAAATGTTGCGGGATGAGCTTTCTATCCTGGATGCCCAGAAGTCTATTTTGCAGAGCAGGTAGGGCCATTTTTCAAAGAAGTCACTGGATTGGAGAAATTGTAAAGGTTAGGTGGCATGAGGTGGCTCCTCACGTTAATGTGAAGCATGGAAAAAAAATTCAACTTCTGTACTTTGGTTGCTTCAAGCTGGTTTCTCCTAGTGCATGCACTTTTAATTTTGTACGGTTATCCTGAGCTTATAACAAATAGAATAGCTTTAAAAAATATATTGAAAACAACTGTATAGAATAAAAACAGATGATTTGTTGTTGTTTGTAAGTCCTCCTTGCATACTGTACCATTATGGGGCAGAAAGTACTATTCTTATTTGTTCAACTTCACAGCTTCTCAGTGATACTGGAAGAGAAATATGTCTCTGAAGTTTTCGTAGTTAAAATGAACAGAACAAAGTGAATAGCTTTATACAGTTTTGGAAATTGTTTTATTTTATCAGTTAGGGTTTAGCTCATGAAACACACTGACACAAATGCCTTCATGCTAAATCAGCTGCAGCTTTACTTCTTTGATTTTTTGCCTTCAAATCTCAGTTGTCCCTGATGATAATTAAATTGATGTAAAGCTACCACTAGGCCAAGGCATCTGCAGATGCTGAAGTGACTGCATGTTTTGTTGCATGACTCTCCTAGGATTGCAAGGAGCCGCTCTCCTTCCCCGAGACGCATGAGGAGCAGGTCACCTAGTCCTCTTCCCCTGAGGAGCTACTCACCTGGCCGAGCCAGGAGCACAAATGCTTCACGTCATGCCTTCCTGGTTGCTCGCTTTGGGGACATTTATTCTAAAGATCGCTTTGATGCAGAGAGAATTTTGAGGATGTACATCAGTGATATGGAGATGGTGCAGAGGATAATATACACAGCAGCAGTGGTAAGAAAATATTTCTCACTTCATAAAATACTATGACTGGATTGGATTACATTGTGTTTGTGAAGTACAAAAAAGAAAATTTCTTCTCATTTTCCTTTACATCCCTCCCACTTTTACATTAAATTTAGTTCAATGTCCTTTTATGTCTGTCTTGTCCCGCATTAGAACAGAGTCAGTGATCTGCAGTACATGTGCTAAGAGAGACTCATAAAATTTGGAATGGCTTGAAAGGTAGATGACTCTTGCACTAAGCATCACTGTTCCATTTAAATGAATACTTTTGGAAATATTACATTATACAGAGCTGAAAATGTTTCATGTCATGATTCCCTCTTACCTGTAACTATATGTTTTTCTAGTTTTATGGATCCCTTGAAATTACCCACATACCTCACGTTTACTGTGAGCTCAGCCTGAAGAAGTTTGTTTTCATTTTTGTGTTTTATTTTGTTGTCTAATGAAATTCACATAGCCCATACCTGTGTCAGAGAGGTATTGCATCTTTTAATGTGTGTGATCCCAAGCACATCTAACTTACTGCAGTTTCTTTTTCCACAATTGACTTTACCCAAACATTCTTCCCAACAGACAAGAAGTACTGCTGTCTGACATGTTAGGTTGTAGCACCTAAATGCAATTATTAAATTCTGTACTTGATGTCTTGGAATGTATTTCTATTGTGTGAATATGTGTGTCTGTGTATCCTATATGCAAGTGGAGTGTTACCTGGAAAGCTTTTCAATCCCACCTTTGGAAAATAAATCATAACTTGATTTCATCAGAGAAGTCCCCCCAGAGGAGGGATATTTTCAGCCATCATCTACAGCAGTGTTTTATCTTCCTCCTTAAAACTATAACACCGGGTTAAAGTTATCCTTTCAGACTGACAAAAATCTGACCTTGCAATCTCCTGGATTTAACTGGACTTTCTATATATTTCCAGGAGTCTTTCCGAGCAGCAAAGATGGCCTACAGGCAGTTCAAAATGCGTGTAAGAAAGACACTATCCATAGGGCACTCGGGGCCCGAGTCACTTGAAGACACTGTTATGGATTATATAGTTCGCCATGAGGATCTGTATGATGTTCAATCCAGTGTCAATGTAAGTCAAGGGCAGAAAGGAAGGGATGTGTTGATCTATTTCAGTAGCTAATAAATTCACTGTGTAAACTAGAAATGCAGTGTACGCTGGAGCAGGAAGAGAAGTTTACTGCATGGATTTTATGTCTTGTTGGAGTTTATTTTCCAGAATAATATTGTTATGGCCCAGTTGTCTCTTGTTTTATTTGCCTATGACTATAACATCTCTGTCAGAATAGTAGTGTTGATAAGATGCAGTGTTACTGTATTAATCACATAAATATAAAGTGGATTTTATTATTTGTCTTAAGCTCTGTACTGAAAAACTGTATCTCCCTCTTAAGACCGATGTCAACTCTATTTCTGTTTCTATAGCTTTCTGAAGCTAATTTTTCTGCAATAACCTAAGATAGCAACTCTGAGAGCCTTTTATATGGATTTTTAAGTGTAGAAAGCTGAGACTCGTATTTCAGATGGATTTTCTTACTTTCCCATGAAAGCAGTAGTGAGCTGTAATTACTCAGTTGTGTTTATTTTCAGGAAGTAATTCGCTCCATGAACATCAACCCAAAGATTTCATCCACACCAGAATTTGATTTTGCTGTCATCAGCGGTTTTATTCGAGAGCTATGCCGTGTGGCTTTTTCAATGCAGACACTCACTCCTCCTCTTGATATTGCCTTTGGTATGGATGGTGAGTTCTTCAGTGAGACCAAGTAAGAATGCCCTATTTTCATTGAGACTCTTGTTATAAAAATCAAAGATGAAAAAAATCCATCAGATTGCATGGTCTATTTCTTTCCTAACTAATATGAAGGTTTAAGATTGATGAACACTAATTTGGCGCAAATATTCCTGGTCTGTGGTGAATTCCCTATGTTTTTAAAGTTTATGTTGGTATAGAAATGCTGGGATGTAGGCCAGCATTTATAGCTTATTTTTTAATGAGCAGCATAGCAATTTTCAAGATAAACTTCCATCTCTTAAGTTTATTCAATTTATCTTTTCAGAGGAAAATTATTGTTCTTCCTTTCTCTGCTTAGTCTCTGTCTGTATCCAGTGTTTATAAAATGCCTTCATCTTTGCTCTGTTTTCTCTAGTCCATTTGGTAAGTCATTTTTACTGACATCTGCCTGTTGGTGGCTGATACCAAGATCTATCAACATCTATACTGTGATTTTCAGGCTGTGGCTGATGTATGACATATGGATTATAATATGCTCCTGTCTCTTCTAGTTTAGAGCTGAGAAAAAAGGAAAATGCCTTTTAGAGATGGGATTTTTGTTTAAAGAAAATACACACCACAACATTGTTTTTCTTTTTTTTCCATGGGTTTAGGGCTGATTGCTATGTTGGCTGACAGAGTATTCCCAGGCCTTCTAGGAAGCTAATGGGATTAATAGCTCAAACAAAGCTGCTCCTGAAAGCAAGAAATGGTGCAGAAATAGGGAGGCTTCTAATAATAAAATAAAATGGAATGGTGCCCAAATGAGAGGATCTTGAAAGCGAAGAAGAGAAATAAAAATAAAAGTAACCCGTCAACAGAGTACAAAGTCATGCATGACTAGAACTGTCCAAATACTGGTCATTTAGCTATTTTATATCCAAAGCAACTGGCTGAACTAAGAAGGCAGCAATGCTAGAGTATAGTCTTCAGATGCTTTCTACACCTGCTTAATGTTTATGGCCTTTAAAAAAAAAAAAAAAAAGTGTATGAATTTGTATGTGCTGCTGTGGGAGATGTGTGTGTATAAACACACATGCCTACATCTACCTATCTACCTGTATAGGTATATGTGTGGCATAGATACCTTTACATATATAGCATAGATATATGCTCTAGCATTCTATAAAAGGATTGACCAAACCACGTTTTACCTTATGTCTTCCTCCAGCAGAATTTCTTGCTTATTTATGACATTCTTCTATATGAGTTGCTATTGCATATACGTTAGTAATGTATATATGCATTGCTATTTTCTATTTCAGTTTTTTGGTATTTGTTTTGAGTTGGAATATGCAAAACCAGGCATTTATTATTCAGCCAATTTTGCAGAGTTTGGGAGGTAATATATACCTTCTGTATTAATACAGCCCTTCCAAATAATTTTTAGGAAAGTCACTGTTTCATTATCGGTATCTGAGGATCTCATTAGTAAAATTGCCTCTCGTAGCACATAATCTTGATAATAAATTTACATCCTAGTATCCAAATATTTCTGTAATATCCTTTATTAGGGTCTTGTTTTGACAAGATGCTTCAGGAAGATTTGATGAATGTGACTGTCAAAAAACTGCTCCGGAGATTTAATCTGTCAGTGAACCTAAGGGCCTTGACTTCTGTGGGGGATGTACAAGTACATGGCCTCCCAGCCATCTGAACTGTTCTACCAAGTCTGGCTTGTGAATGGATTTCTTTTATGGATTCACTTAAACAAAACTTATTTTTCTGATATGCAAATAATGTCAAGAAAGATGCTTATGAGCTATACTGATATTCTGCTTTTCATCAACCTTGGTAACTTGAAGCATCATATTACACTTACACACAGATAATTCTTATACACTGTGTTGCTACAGGTATCATCGTAGTGTTGACTCAGATTATACAGCTGCTTTGGTGGCCTATCATGTATGGCCTGCTCTAATGGAAAATGATGTTGTGATTGTGAAGGGAGAAGCAGTCACAAAAAGAGGAGCTCTGGTATGTACTTTCCTTAAGTAAGAGAAGTCATTAGACTTAAACTCTATTTTAAAATCAATGTGTTAAGAGAAGTAACTGGATTTAAGCTTTTTTTTTTTCAAATTTAAAAAGATGAATTCTAAGTTGTTCCCTATATGGCTGGAGTAGTGTATGTCAAATGTAAGATTTAAATTCTCATAGTGTATTTAAGATGAGTGGTTCAATTTACTTTAATATATTTGTCATGGAAGAAAAGTTGTGCTGCTGTTGACAAAGCCGTTTTTTAGGAAGAAAATTCACTGTATTTAGTGTTTGTTCTGTGTCCTCACACCTTGTCCCAGCATGGCAAGTCTGCTTGCAGAGTCTGCTTTTTGTAAACACTCTCTTAAAAGAGGTTTGCTAATTTCTTCTCTTGTAGTGGTCTCACAGGAGCAGAAGTCGGAATCGCAGCCGTAGTGTGAGTCCTCTTCTGTCTCATGTAAGTCTCAGCTGAACACTGGTAGTCTAAAAAAACATCAGATATTTTAAACTCAGAAAGACTAGGAACTTGTTTAATTTGATTTTGTACCACTGGAGTTGCACTAGAGAGTAAAGTATGCAAATTTTCCAAATGTTGATGGGTCCCCAGATGCCTTTCTTGGGTACTGATCTTTGGCACACCTGAATTCTCCATTCTGTTTGCCTTGCAGTTATCTCGAAGCCGTAGTCCTTCACCACGGAGAAGTGGAAGTCCAAGTAGGTGGGAATATTAGTTCTTAATGATTCATGATTTTCACATTAAGCCCTTGGAAGACTGAGCAAAGAGATGAAATAATATGCTGAATGTCTTTGACTCTTAAATACTTGTCCAAATCTTGTTCTTAAAATGAGTAGCCCTTCTTCTGTGTATGTAAAGGGGCTGAAATTTCTGAATTTGAAGATGGCTTACTTTTCACTCTGCTCAGACCACTGTCACATGCTTTCTTTTTGCTGGTTGCCTGGTCTATAGTAAATAAAACTTGTTCCCCTTCCCACAAGAGTGACAGTTATCTATCTACATGCTGGCTAGCTCCATGCCTTTACAAACCCCAAGAGGTAGCTAAATGGGGAGGGTGATGTGGGAGGATTTTAAACAGTATGAATTTGCACTCACCTTGAAGCTCAGACAGTACAGAGATATAGGAAAAACTACTGTGCTGAAATCTGTATTTTTCTTCAACAGGACATTAAGATAGCTGGATAAGTTTCTGTGATTCTGTACATCTGGATCCATCAACATTGCTTGTGCCTTTTCCTCTTCAAGGAATACCTCAAATGTCGCAATAATGTGAATGGCCGTGAACTCTAAATGGACTGTATTATGTTGCTTTTTTTCAGTGTGTTTTTAGAACTTTAGAAGTCTTATTTATGACTTATTATGACCTATTATGGCACTAATTCAGCCCTTCCAATTAAAAAAAAAAGTGCCATATATGATCATACTAATTTGGCAAAGGTTACAGAGCACTGAGATACCCTTGCTGTAATATGGATGGAGATAGATGCACTAATTGTAGAATGATTCCCTAGATACCAAATGTTTCAGTTTACCTTGATAGAATTTTTAGCATAACTTAGATGGTGAATGTTACAGAATGTTGATGTTAGTTGTTACTTGAAAACAACTTAATTAGCTGGTGCTTATTTATAATTTTAGAAAATGAGATGTGACATTCTCAGACGTCCTTTTATATATCTCCTTTGTTACATGAATGACCGTCTGGGGTCTTGAGTTTTTACATAGAAATATAAGATTTGTCATAGTGATTCTGATACATAACTCACCAAGTTCACTGTTACATTCCAGTCAATATTTAAGTGTTCAGCTTTGCCTAGATTTATCTCTGTGCTTTTGGGTATATAAACAATTAGAAGCAAAAAAAAGATCCTTTCTTTCTGCCTTCTGTTGCAATAGCCTGTGCACTGGAATATGACAGTTCATTAGTGTTCCTGTAAATAGCATGAACAAAAATATTTTTAATGATTCTGAAATTATTTTGTACTTTAAAATTATGTTACATGAACAAATTCTGTGACTTCCTTCCAGAGATCTTGTACAGATTTATATATCCACACTCCTTCTCACTGCTTCTTGTGTGATTTAGGACCTTGGCACTAAACTCTTTGGCACAGACTTCAGGCAGCCTTTAGCATTGGTCCCCAGGAGTTATGAATCAGCTGTACTCTTGTTCTACAAATATGTTTTCATTGGAATTAGGCTGTTAGGAACCAATGAGAGCAGAATGAAGTCTCATACATAAAAGACCATTCACAGAGTTTCCCTGAATGAATGAAGAAGACACAAGTGAGAGGTGTGTGGATTTATGTGTTTTGCTTTATCTGAGAAAATCAAGAGAAATGCAGAGTGATTTGTGTCCTCTTCTAAGAGCCTACTGAGAGCCATCGTGGATCTGGGCTTAAGGCAAACCTGCATATTTCTGCACTGATTTCATGATTCAAACCACCACAGCTGTGGTAGAAAAAACTGAGCACCTGCAGATTGCGCGGCAACAGGATAATTAGGTGTCCCAAGTATGATTTTGAGCAACAAAATGAAGAATTTCTCAAAACCTTTTTATTAGCAATGGCTAAAGAAATGCAAGTTTTTTGTTTGTTTGTTTTTAAATAAGAAAGTGTATTTTTTTTTCTTCAGCATGTGTTGTTATTTTGAACTGAGGTAAGTTTCCCTTCCAACTGTGAGAAAATTAAGATGACATCAAGAGCATATGACATCTTGACATTCTAACAAGAATGAGAGGCAGCGTAGTTCCAGATTTGCACACACCTATGATCACAGTAAGAACTGGTATTCCCAAAGACCTGGAAAAGGCTGTAAAAGTGAGATTGACACTGCTTGGTGGACAACCTTATCTTGTTCCACGTGTACAGGATGAGCTAGTAGTCTCAAAAAAGAAAACTAGTGAAGTAGCAGCTGATGAGCTGTTAATGAGAAAGTAGATCTAGGACTTATTTGCATAATTTTTTTTTTTTGCAGGGCAAACAATTTTTAGCAAAATAGAAAGTCTGCTGCATGGCAGTACTTAATTACAAGCAATCGTTACTCTACTGAATTGCTGTCAGTAGCCTGTATGTTCCTATAAAGAGACAACAGTACTTACTGCCTCACAGCTTATTTATAGACAATTAAATCCATAGGTCAGACAGAAGATTGCTATTCATGTCAGGTTAGACATGCTTCTTTTTATACACATGACAACAGTGCAGAGAATGCATACCAATAAAACTTAAGTGAAATTAACCATTAAATGTGAAAGAACATGTAAAAAGGAACTGCTGTAAAAGCTTGCAAGACCCTATGAAAGAATGGATTATCAATATCAAGTTGATTACTTGGTAATTTAATAAGAGTTTTTAAAATCATAAGTTTTTTTTTTTTCTTTTCTCTCATTTGCAAGCCTGGGTAATGCTAACTTGTAAATAGAACAAAGTTGGAACAATACTATTAGGATGGATTTTAATAGGTGGCCAATTTAAAAAGTTGTTGAGGCTTATATTACAGTGTAGTTTTAGAACAGTATTGCTCACGATCCAAGTGATAATACCAGGGAAAAGAAGGCTAGATTTTGAACTAATTTTAGCTTTTTTGGAGATACACTGATGGAACTGAAACTGCATAGGATGTAAAAAAAAAAAAAAAAAAAAAAGGCACCACCTTTGGGTCTGCGTATCAATGTAGGATACCACGTGTTTGTATGGGGTTCTGAGATTGCTGGAGAATTTCTCCTGCATGTGAGCTCTATAAAGGCTCAGTACAAAGCTTTAATCTGTCTAAATGTGGGACTGTTTTATTATCCATTTCTTGGAAAATATGATATCATCATATTTTCTTCAATGAAATCTTCAGTGTTTGCAGCTGAATGGCATAAGAGCATACTAGCATGATGTTCATGAAGAACTAGCAGATACTGAAGACAAATGACTCAGCTAAATTTGCTACTACACAATGAAGATTTAAATTCAGTATTTATTTTAGATTGGCTCCCAGGAAAACATATGCCTGTCCTCCAGGACTTGAGCCTTTAGGCTTCATTTTTATACTGCATGTGTGTATGAGAAAAAATTATCATCCTGTAACAGTGCCATTGGAAATACTGTCCTTCATCTCCATGTAACCTTTATCAGTCACTTCTGATGAGTGAACTATACAATGATTTTCTTACTGCAGCATTAAGAAGTCTAGCATTATATCAAAGCATTGAAAATTGGTTTGTTATGGCTTGCAGCTCTAACGGTGTGTGCCAGACTGAACATTTTAAGTTTTAGAACAATACTGTATTTCTTGCAGTCATGAAGCATACTAATCACAAACTAAAAAAGTTTGCTTTATGGTTGAAAGGCTGGAAACAGTTTTCTGATAGCTTCATGTAAGCAATGCTGTCAGGCTTGTGCTGATCTGCAGATGTGCTGTCTACGTGGAAGCCGTACCTTTCACTCAATAGGCTGAGCACAGAGCCCACCATGCTACTTTACTTTTAGAAGATGAAAGCATGGCACAAGTGAAGTGAGTGGCGTATTTAATTTTCAATGGCTTTGAAAATACAGTTATTCTGCTTTGCAGAAAGACAGTTCTCAAAGAAATGTTAAGTATTTGAAAATGAAAATCTGAAAGTTCAGTCTTTCCAATTAGGGGAATATACTCAATCACATATAGCAGACGTAACTCTTACCTTTGTAAACTGCTTTCAAGACGTCCAGTGAAAGCCTGCCTATGTGTTGATACGTACACACACACAGCAGCATGGACAAGACTAGCGCTTATTATTTGGAAGAATCACCCTCTGTTCACAGAAACCTTTTTGCCCTATGACCTCTCATACAGTTTGTATCCTTTATGGCTGACTCAGTTGGTCAAAGATTAGCTTGATGATTTCTACAGGTAGCTGTAATTTGGTCAGGAATCTACCTAACTATAATCAGGTGCAGATAGAGCAGGATCAGCCTTTTGTATAAAAATACAACACATATTTTCATTTCCAATCTGTGTATGGTGTATTGCTTGACTTAAAAAGCGTGTGGTTTAAATGAAGGACTTTCTAAAGTTCGTCAGCCATTAAAGCAATGAAATGAAACTTTAGATGTCACCATTTTGAGTTGATTAGTAGTTAGTACCATATGTTTTTCTCAGACTTAAATTTCAAGGATGACTAACTACAATCAAAATGGCGTTTCAACTTCAGTTATTCTGAATAAGCTGTGTTTTAAACTGGTATTGTTAATTAGTTAGTATGGAGAATTAATAAAATATCAAGCCTAAATTGTCTTTGTTTTTTTTTTTATGCTAAGACCACCTGACCAGCTCTGAATTTATTTTAAAATAAGATCTTAATTGTTGTTGCTGCAAATGGATGTCTGATGCTAGACCTTGTGGTGACATCTATTCAGCATAAGCATGTGTTCTGTTTTCTAGGTATTGCTGGAATCAGGCTGGCATAGTTTATCCAGAGTTTTGACAGTTTGTCCACAGGAGTTTTCAGTTAGGCAGTGTGTGTTTGACTTACAGTATGTGTGCAACAGTGCAAGAAAATCCCAGAGCCTTAAACAGGAAGACAAAAGAGATAATTGGAACAGTTTCTTCTCACTTTATAATACTGGTATTATAAGATATAAATATGAATTTTGTCACGCTGGCAAGAGTGTACAAGCACTAAGTGAAGGTCATCTCTTACAATTTTTCCTGACATTTGGCTTCATTGATAATGCTGAATTAATAGTGTTGTGGAGCCACCAGTCTGTGCCTGAGATTCATTCATGGCCATGTTCAGATCCACTGAGCACAGCCTGCAGAAAGAAACTTGCTATGAACGCATGCTCCAGTTTGATTCCTATTTTTTGTCAATGTCTATCGGATAGCTCCATAACCCCCCACCATAGAATCATAGAATCCTTAGAGTTGGAAGGGACATCTAGTCCAACTCCCCTGCAGCAAACAGGAACACTTATGGATAGATCAGGTGCTCAGAACCCCATCCAGCCTGACCTTGAGTATCTCCAGGAACGGGTCTTCCACCACCTCTTTGGGCAACCTGTGCCCATGCCTCATCAGCTTCACTGTAAAAGAATTTTTCCATATCCTCAATCTAAATCGACCCTTTTTGCAAAGGAATAGGCTGTACAGGTCTCAAATGCTTGCTGGAATTTTAGCTGGGGAGCCCTTAGAGCATTTGACAGCTGGCAAGCATGGCAGCAGGAAGAGAAACCTTGCTGTAAAGGCTGAAGCACACAGTTTTGCCTTCACTAAGTAGCCAGCCACTGGGAGCTAGCTAGAAGAAAAGCCCTTGCTCCTGCACATATCTCTTGCTTCTCCTTCCACAGGGAGCAATGAAAGATGCAGAAGCATCCTCATGCCCTGCAGAGCACTCAGGTGGAGCTGGGTTTGTAGATTATCATGGAGCAGAGTAAAAACCATAGGAAACCTTATCACAGCACTCAGAAGGCTGACAGAAGGCATGTTAAATGAAAGTTTATGACCCCTAAGGGGTCAACTTGAAAAAAAATTAAAATTTGCATATAGGTTTATTGGAGAAAGTCTTGGAGACTGCAGAAAGGCTCCCAGCTGAGGAGCTGATGGAGCAGAGCACTTCCCACGAGATGGCACTATTGCCCCATGCACCGGCACAGCACCTCCCGGCCCTTGGAAGAGCGGGCTGCCAAAAGGGGTTCTCAGCTACGTGTATGAGTGTTGCAGCTCGGAGCAGTATGAACAGATGTGAAGCAGACAGTTAGCTTGCTGAGTGATCTCATACAGGTGTTGCCGGGTAAGAATGGGAAAATCCTGATACATGGCTGATGAACATCACTACCAATCTGTTATTTGAAGAAGCTGGCTTGGGCTTATACTGTTTTGGGTTGTTTTAAGAAGAAAA